CTTCCGATCTGTTCTGACTTAGCAAAGAGCTATCTAGATGATATTGATGGACCAGAATTGTACAGAGAAATTAAAGACTGTAGAGTGTTGATAGGTAAAAGCACACAGACCGATTTTCCTGAACCAATGGTTGCAACTGGTTTGCTAAAATTTATAATTTCATACGGTGAAGATATTTTCCCAAATTTAAGAATTGCATTGCAGATTTTGTTAGCAATTGGGGTTTCTATTTGTAGTTGTGAAAGGTCCTTCAAAATTCATTCTTATATACTTGAGAACCTCAATGACTCAAGAACGACTAAGTAACTTGGCAATATTAAGTATTGAAAAAGACGTACTTAATACCTTAAATTTTGATAGTTTAATTGATGCATTTGCAGCAGCAAAAGCACGAAAGGTTCATATAATGTGACCATGAATACCAGAATGTTAACTGTACAAGATCTAGTTAAGTATATGTACAGTTTTGTAAACTAATAAAATTTATTTGTAAACTTAAGTAGTATTTTATCAATATGTTTTATAATCCATGTACACCCGAAGTGACTGGGTTGTCATATAAAACATACGTTTCAAATCTAGGGATATAACAAAAATTTATTCTGCATGCTTGAAAGATTACTTTAGCTATGTGATTTTGAACAATACTGGATGATATAAATATCAAAATGGTTTACAAATTATGTAAGTACACCTAGTAGGCTATACCTCATTAGTTGCAGGTTTACAGTTGTGATATCGTGAGATGTTATATTGTGACTTTATTTCAGGCCTGTGTAAGGCGGTAATTAATTTTTTATCTTATTGTCATTAAGTTGGTAATGAGTCACGAAACAAATAATCAAAATATTTCAGAGGTGGGGCGCCTCCGGGTGCTGAGAACCCTTGCTTCACCACTGTTTATGTAACGGGTCCACTACTTGGTCGAAAACCTACAAAATGCATTTTAATTTTAGCCTTTGGTATAGAGGGCGCTTTTTCGAGACGCTGTGTTTGGATTAGTTAGTACAAACATAACACTATTAAGAATACACATTTGAGCGTATCAGGCACTGAAATACTGACTGTAAACCACTTGCATGTGAAGACCACGTGATTACTCGACTACTTAGCTAAACGTTACGCAGTTGTAAACGTGTTTTTATTGTGATGAGACGATTTGTTTGGTTAAAACTGTAAACAAAAGTATTTCCAATTTAATAACAGAGGTCTCCATTTCAAACTAATGTAAGTAAGAGTTTCATTACGTGATGATTTGGGTAGTGTATTAATGGGAAACTAATTTACTAAAATATTCGGTAATTGCTTTACAAACTTAGGGAGTTACACAGATAGCAGACTTAGTTTTACAGAAACTTGAAACGGGTTTCAAGTTCAACAAAGATGGAAGTTTTCTGGAGCACAATTACCTTAGCCTTCTTTATTGAAACCCTTTCAAGTTTCAGAAAAGACCTGCTATCTAGTATAATCTACGCAAGGCAATTGGCGTCCATTATTTTCATCTTTGTTTCTTAATTTTAATAATTTCATTTCAATCTTGATATTTTAAAATGCGATTGTGATTGTGAGTTTCCAGGGGCTTTTTTCAGTGGCAGTAAAATGTTAACAAGGTTTTTAAAACTAGTGCTGTAATTTGAAAATGGTATGTGTATAATACCAACTAGTAATACTAATAGCATTTCGTTTATATGGAGGATTGGATCAAATGTGTTTGTTATATTTAATATATAGCTGTAACTGTCAAATTAAACGAGCCTTTCCTAAATAGTAAATATTAAGTTAAATGAAAAACTTGACTTTATGTTCACTGCGACGGTTACTATTAACATAATATTAGTATTACAACAAAATCTTAATGCAAAAAAGTAATGGAATTTGGATAGTTCAGTTAACTGTGCTGCGTTCCAATGATTTTGAATGCTGGTAGTGGTTGGGGTAAAGAAAATCGCAGCCAGTATTCTAATAATTCTCATATAATACATTATTAGTATCGAATTATTTGATAACATATGATTGCCTGTAACCCAAAATCTAAACATTAAATTAGAATTGGTAACATTTAAGGCCTTTATCAAAGCATTTTCAAGTTTCGGAGATGAATATTTCTTCAAAAAAGTTATGTAAATCATTAACCGTATATTCTAATACTATGTAACACACAGTAAAACTAAAACGTTATATAATTGTTTACTCAGAACGAGAATCAGTGAGGCAAATTTCTGATCCTCTTCAAACTTAAACTGTCACAACTATTCAGTAATGGCAATATGACAGTAGTTTTGTAATAATTCATAAACGCTATTACACAGGACTTAATATTTTGCATTATTACTTATTAATATTCTGTTAGTATTAGCGTTAAATTTTAGTACGTCATTAAAGTGTATGCTTCATCGAGAAAACTACAAAAGAAAAGAGGAGAACAAACAAGTCGTGCCCTGGATATAGTATTAATGTGACCCAATGATTTCAGTCGTGTATTCGTAATAAAACAAAGTGTAAACAGGCTCAAACTGACTTTGTTACACAGATAGCATAAACATTTGAAATGCATTTAAACCTAAAAGTCAAACATCCAGATTGGGTACAGCGATATAAAGACCAGATCGTCACAACAGAACAACTTTCCAGACATTGTGTATAAAAAAACAGGTTAAAACTCGATAAATCAGCGTGAGTAACTCGGGTGGAGCAAGCAAAGCTCCACTTGTGTTTGTTGTGCGCCTCGTGTCACGTAGGCGTATTAATAAACGTGTCGCATTGCACGAACAACGAGACGATGGAGTATTGTGTAAACATATTTTGTTGTTTTTGCAACATATAATCTAGAAAATCAGAATTCTTACTCTTAATGTATTATAAGCATGCTTAACTCATTACACAATATTATTAATTTGTAAGGATAACAACGTATTTAAAAAGCAAACGAAATATTTGTTTTAAGGGTGTGTATGCTGGTACAACTCAAAATGCAAGTTTTTAATATAGATGATTATCATCAAATGGTTAATTTTTGTGGTTAACAAAATTATTCCTGCCAAAACTTTTAACTAAAAAATATGTTTTAAACTGAAAGACAGACATACCAACTATTCTAAGCTAAGTAGCCAAATATATTGTTGTAAGCTGCATAGTGTATTTTCATTGTTTTAATTTAGGTTTAGCTAAAGAGTGCATGATAATAAGATCAACATCGTGTAATTTCGTAAATTCAATATTTTTAGAACGATATAAGAATCAGATGAGCTCTTTAGATTTAGGATATTTAAAAGGTGAGAATGTTAATGTACAATAAAATGATCATACAAACTACATAACCTGCAAAAAACAACAAAAAATGTTGAGTTGTTTACACATTCTCTATAAAGCCAGAAGATGCAATCTATGGTGATGGGGAAAAAAAATAGTTCCTTGCCATAGAAGTACAGTTTCATTTCCTCTTAAGAAATCCATTCAGTTGTAGGTTTGAAATTTTTCTACCTCAACTATCTTACTGTTAAATGTAGAAAAATAAAAAACTCTTGAATGAATTAGAAATTCAAATTTCTGGCTGTAGTCTTGAGAAAGTAAGACTTAAAGTTTGTTTAAAAAATCAATTTATTTAAGGATGACTTCCAGGATATGAAGAAGGATATTATAATTATTAAACTGGATAAAAGAAATGAGCTTGTTTCATTACATAGTTGATAAAGTTGAGATCATATGAATTGATACTCATACCTTTCTACAGATTTAGGAGGATCTAGTAGCAGAGTTAAGCTTTAAATTTGTGTCTGTTTATCTTAACGAAAGAATGTTGCATAAATGAGAAAATTTAAACACCAATAGGCTTGTACTGTAGAATTTTGTACAAATTTCTGATGTACATAGGTGGAATATCCCATTGTGTCCAGAATAGGTACTTACAGCCAGCTATTAGCAAAATATTTGATTCAGTTTTTGAAAGTATTTTACAGAATGAATGTTGAATTTGTTGACAGTTTGAAACACAGTATAATGATTAATATGTTACATTGTGCCAATTGTGATATTGACTCATTTTTCACAAATATGCCACTGCATAAAACTATTGTACAAAACTGGTATCTGTTAACAACTAGCACAAGGTATTCCACAAGCCGACCTTACAACACCATTTAGTTCTACAATAATATGTAGCTGCTCTTTGTTTAATAGTAAATGCTACAAATTTGTAGATTTAGAGTGGTTATGGGCTTTCTTCTTGCTCCCCACCCTATCAAACAACTTTTTATGTTTATTTTGTCAAGGCTCTGTGTGTGAACACAGAATCTGTATATTCACTTTCTTTCCAGCAAAACTTTCTCTAATATCTTGTAAAAAGAACTTTTTTCTGAATACTTTGTGCTGACGTTTACAGATTGGTTTTTCAAGTTTATTTATATATTTTTCTTTGTGAAGGTGAATCTGTAACAATTGTTCTAATACTTCTACTATTTGGTGTAGGCGATCTGGACTACTTATCAGTTGTTTTGATGTACTGTTTATACAGTGACCTGCTCAGCTTTACTTGGAGTGGTACGATATATTGTAATTAATTTCAGTGTGATCTACTTTCCTTTCTAAATAACACTGATGAACTGATAATGTACCAATCAGTCTGTGGTCTCTTAAGGTTGTTTGGTCAGGGGAGTTTGACAAACTGTTTTAAATTCTTTGCAAGTTGGTAACCACATGCCTAAAGTTGTTTGGAAAGAGCAAGCAATAATGATTGCTAAATATTTTGGTTTTCCTTGGACAAAGAATTAGATGTTACTAAAAGCTTGTTTTTTTATTTTCTTAGGTGAGATTTGTGATTTTCAGTACTCCATCTAGCTCCTTTAAAATCAAAGTTAAACTAATATGATTTTCATTGCTTCATCTAGCTTCTTGAAAAATAAACACATATAATTTTCATGGTTCCATCTAGCTTCTTTAAAAAAAAAAAATATGATTTTCATGGTTACATCTAGCTACTTTAAAAACAAACTAATGTGATTTGTATGGTTCCATCTAGCTTCTTTAAAAATAAAGCTAAACTATTATGATTGCCATGATACTTTGTTATCTTAATTGTCATTTAGCTCTAGATATAGAAAGTGAAAGGTTTTTTAATAGGTGCAGTGGCAGTGGACACTATCATTACTGTAAGTTACACAGGCAGTCTAGCAAGTAGAAGAGAGAGACAACTGCTGTGGAATTTACAGTTTTAATCTCCATTGAGAGGAATATATGTGGAGACATTACATAACAGAATAAATTTATTTTTTATCATAAAAACACAAATTACAAAAGCCACTTTATAAGTTAGCTATACTGATAGCCAAGTTAATGTTTAGCTTAGTTCTAAGTACATAACCTCCACTGATTGGAAGTTGTCATTATATACTGTGTCAACCATTAAATGCACATATATTACTAGAATGAGATAATACATGTAAGACATAATAATTGTATAACATGAAAGTTTAAAGAGAAACATGCACAATTCTGAATACCACATTTTGTTAATATTTTATTTGTGTATGTTAAAATATAGCTACTAAAGTTTATTGTTTTACAGTTTAATGTAAAGGTACTCAAAGTTAATATTGTATGAAGCAGTAAGTGAAATTTTAGGATTGGAACTAGGTAGTTCTCTGTTTGGAAAAAGGCTGGGAAGCACTGCATTAGGGAACAGGTTTTTATATACAAGGTTTTTGATGAGGAAAGTCAACAGTTTGAACATCTGACTTGACACAATGGCTGAATAAGAAGAGAGCAAGTATGCCACAATATGGCATGAGCCTAAAGATTATCTACTGACTGTTATTTTTGCATGATTAATGTTTCTGGATATTCAGGCAAAACTAAACAATACATTAAATATCTGGATATTGTATCAGCAATGAAATCAGTACCTCATTGGGATGGTCTTCTAGTACCACATCCACCACAGAATTGGGAAACAAGAGTTGTCTTATGAAGAAGACAAGTGAATCCTCTTCATCTAGTGTTTCTATTTCCTCAATATAATCTGCCTCATCTGATCACACAATAAGAGCTAAATGATCTGATTCATAACTTGTCTCGATCAAAGCAGCTTGGAAAATTTCTTGGCTCTTGTTTCCAGCAATGGAATTTATCAGCTCCAGGAACAAGTTGCCATCAGAGTCTTGCTTCACACTACAGCATACAAAATACTGTGTTTCTGTACAAATGTTGATGTACTCATCAAAGATTAGGGACTGAACATCATCCTTAAGATGTTAGAGCATGACTGGTTGTGACAATAAGAACTGTAATTACGTGTTGAGGCTCTAAAATCATTTTAATATAACCTACTCATCTCTTCTATACATCTTGAATTTCATACGTTATCCAGTCTGTAAATATGTGATTATACAGAAGTTGAGTAGGTTATATTAAAAACCTACTCAACCTCTGTATAATCACATATTTACAGGCTGGATAACATATTAAATTCAAGATATATGGAATATTTTTTGTTTTTTATTAAGTCTTAATGTTTGTAAAGCAATGTTTTTCTTGTGTCTTTTTTCTTTTTGCATGTTGCCTATCTATCATGCAAAGTAATATTCATCTTAAGATTAAAAATACTTTTATGCATCAGAAATTTTTCAAATTTCACATGTGAAGTCTTTATAATGTCCTGATAGTTATCAAATTATTCAATAAATATCAATTTGTTAAGAAAAAACTTTATATTTTGTTATTTTCAGTAATTAATCTCTGTACAGGTTTGGTAGATTTGACCTTTCTCACAAGCACCATAAAAATTAGGAAATAAATATAAATTATGCCTATTTCATTCTAGAATGAACACAAATTACAACAGGAAAACATAAATGTTTAGACTAAATAGCTTAAATCTTATAACATTATACATTTATATATATTTATTACTTTATTATATTGACCTTTCAGCCATGCCTGGCTAACAATACAGAAGTTACAATGACACGGCACATGTGCTCTCATGTTACCGTATCAAATAACATAATTATGTCTAATATTGTTACCACTTCGGAGGTTATATCTTCTATCAGCACATTTACACAGGCTTCAAGTGGCAGTCCTCAACTGGGGAATTATCAGCTTTACATATTTTTAAATACAGTCTGCCGATTTTGGAGAGATAAGACGTTATACTGTTATGGTATTTGAATATTGTTACTGTCAGTATTATTATTTTTAGGTATTTGGGTTTAATAACATACTTCAGTTAAATTGGTTAATATTCAGAGTCAAGTTCAGGTTTGAAATTAGAGCTTAGTTGTACCCTTTGTCCTATAACATTAGATTAGGTCTTTGTTACATTAGGATTACCTATAATTCATCTTACTGGTATATCGTAAATTAGGTTAACTATATTGTTTTTCTTCAAAATATCACATCTGATACATATGTTATTGTCAATACACACTTAATTTTACAATATATTGTCAATTTCATTTTCATTATTATTTACCTTTTATACTTCATATTAATTACACACTTACTACCTTCTCCTGATATTGTGTACCTTCCTCCTACAACTGCCAAACCTGTTTAGGATGATCTAGATCTCTTCTAGGTCTACCTCACTTTTTTTAAACACATTTCACAGTATAATTTTACCCTTCTTTTCCAGACATTATGTTTCATGATGAGCATTTTTGTCTCTTACTGGGAGAGGGTACTTTTGTCTTGCCCTCCACATGCTTTGGCTTGATCTGCCTTAGCTTACCATCAGGCAGATTTTTTATTATTTTGTGTATTTAGAATATCTGTTGCCTGTATGGGGAGGGGGGGCATTCTGTTAATTCTATCCATTTTATCTCCCCACCTAATTTTCTGGCTTTGTCTTATCCTATCAATTCTCCTACAGAAAATGTCTACCTTACACCTCCTTTCTTAGGTGTTCCACCTATGTCTAGATTTTTTGGGGAATACCTCTTCCTCCTTCCCTCCATGTTGGGGCATTTGCCATCTTCAGTTCTTTCCCTCCACATGTGACTTCTTTACTTTTGGTATCTTCTGGGGTGGAACATTGTCTTGTATAGTTTTGTTTACCATCCACTTATAATGGGGACTTATGGTTGGCTTTTTTGGGGCTACTCCTCTGCATTTAGCATTACATGGGATATCTGTGATTGTATATTCTATTTTATTTTTATTTGCTCTTCTGTTTCATTCTGAGCCAATGCCATCTTTATTCATGTGCCATGTCCAGCATCTTTCTGTCCTTTACCTGACCTACCTACAGATTTCACCATTTGTTGTGTATGATCGATGCTGATTGGAGTTCTGGATTGATTGGTCCCACCTCAATCACTTCTTGGTTCTTCTTGTTTTTAATATGTAGTCTTTGAATACATTTGGGTGGGCAATTTCGGTAGGACTGAGAATGCCCACAGTACATGTTCTTATTTGTCATTTCTTGGGATGCTATTTTAGGTTTTTCACCACATGATTCGGTAACATTTTCACACTTGTTTCAGTTCCATATGTCTTTTGTCGGGTGGTTTGCGTTTTACTTGACTTCTGCATTTTGAGGAATTTTACTTGGCTGTCTGGTTTCGATTATCCCCTTCCGAATGGGGTTGGTCATAACAGTTATCTGCTTTTTACACAACCAGCTCAAGTGGTTGGATTTTCCAGTTGGATAAGTTTTTCCTGTTCCCTACCTAACAATCTTGGCTATTTGGGGAGTGTCTTTTTTAACATCCTCCTCTGTTGAGACCATCCATTCTCTTCCTCAATCGATGGAGCTTTCTGTAATCCATGCCATTACAGTTCACTATCTCAATGCTAGCAAGGTTCTAAAAACTTTAGAGGGGATGTGACTTCTATGGAAGCACCTTCTCCCTTTGTGCCTGGCACATGTGTGATCTTTTCAGGAGACTCTGCATGACCCATTGTAGGGTTCCTTTGGATTCTCCTCTTAACTTTCCTCCTTCCCTCTTCAACTATATGCATTGGTGGTTGAACATATCCCCCACATCGTCAGGTTTACAGATTCCTCCTCCTCGTCCAGATTTGTTTCTCTTTCCTGATGCTCATCTCCAAAGTTGGGGGGGCATGGGTCGATCACCATGAGGCTTCGGGACAATGGTCTAAGGATGAAAGGTCTTACCATGTTAACACCCTATCATTTACAGCAATCCAACATGCTTTAGTACACTTTCTTCCATTTGTCCAGATTTGACTAATCATTTTTCATTCCGACTGTTCAATGGTGGTGGCTTATATCACTCACCAAGGGGGCACTCATTCTTGTTCCCTTTGTGGTAGACAGTGGATCTCCTGTTTTGAACCCACACACTTGATGTACGTCTTCTGCTCTGTCATTTTCCAGGTGCTTTTGTCCTCGTTTCAGATCGCCTTTCCAGTCCTGACACACTTTATCCAAAAGAGTGGCCTCTTGATCCTTAAATTTTTGGTGGCTATGCCTCTTGTGGGGTACTCCTCCATGGGAAGTATTTGACTGTTTTCTTGATTCCAAGTTACTTCTTTTGTTTTTTAGCTGTGGTTCATTATCCACTTGCCCTGGTTGTCAATGTGTTCAAACAGGATTAGATCCAGTTTGTAATGTTAGTTTTTCTCATTCTGTCATTCTTCATCCCAAGGTGATTTTGATCATCTATGTCATTCCAGGTCAGGTCTTTCTAATTGATCCTTCTTGGCTGACACAGATCTGGTTTTATCTGCTGTTTCACTTTAATGTGTTCTTTTTGTTCTGGATTGATTTTACTCACTCACGCTTTGGGGGCTCAATTGGAATATCTTTTTTATCACTTTTGTTTCTTGCCATCTTTCACCATGATTCTTGGTTGGATCTGGATGACCTTCTCTGTTTCGTGCATGCTCTGTGTTGATTCATTGTCTTCATGGCTTCTTTCCATGTTATATAAAGAGAATATAAAATATAACCTAAATGTATTTGCAACCCTCTAATGTCTTGGTGTGCAAACTGTGGGGTATGCTCCCAATGTGGTTGCAGATAGTTGGTAGGGAGGTCTGCAGTTATGGCTATAAAAGCATGCAAGTTCTATCTCAAAGTACTTATTCAAAAATAAAGTATTCATGACTGCCATATAAATATTATTACTATTAAGTAATATAGTAACAACAATTAACATAAGAAAATGATAGGTCCAGTGTATGTATGTGTGTGTGTGTGTATATATATACACACACACAGGTTATAATGGGTTTGGAGATGTGGTTAGGTGCAACAAAATGCATGCTTAGAAAGGGGGGTGTCATAACTTAAACTGCTCTAGTGCACTGAATATTTAAATGTGATCCTTGCAAGATAAATTTACCCTGCTGTAATTTAGTTTCCTTCATTTACAAATATATATAGTTTCCCACTCTACTTTGTAGAATATTTTTTTGGAAAAAACAGTACAAGATGGCTAGTAGTCATTTAGCCAATAACCTGGAGTACAGTGTGTATTCTAGTAGTTTTGTGAATCATGTGAAATTAAAAACTGAATTTTTCTTACTAAAAGTGACTACTTATGGTTGGTTTTATTAGGAAACTAATAATCCATGTCCACTACAGATATGAATAGAAGACTTTCACTGTTGTAGTAAGATATTTGGAGGAAGCAGTCATTATGGGCTCATACCGAAGTCGTGTGATACAGCTTTACAAAAATGTAAGTTTTTTGGTTTTCAATTTGTGAGCAGAGTTTGGACCTACATGGAAGAGTAGAATCTTTAATGGTTTATACAGAATTTCAAGTTAAAAATAGAAGCTCTAAGAACAGTTAAATACGTAGTAAGTTGCAAGAAATTTGGCATGCAGGTAAGAAAGTGACATGAAGGCAGTTAACTTAAACTACCATGGATACTATCACTATGTAACTTTAAATCAACTACTGAAATATGAAAATCTTACTTAAAGATAACTTTAAGTTACATATATTCCAATGTAGAATTATATGTGTAACTGTAAAATCAGCATTGAAACACAAAACCTTTTATCAGCAGCTGATACACATGTATGTAGTTTGAAGTCAACTACCAAACTGTGTTAAGCCTAATTACCAAAGTACAGTGATGTTCATTTTATTGCTGTAAGCTATTTTTTGGTTGTTTTAATTTAAATGTTTATAGAGGGAGATTAGGATGATGATGACTATAGATCTAGGAATTTCTCAAAAGTAGTTATAGGACCTACAAATTTCCAGTATTTGATAGAAGTAGGAGTTTAGTATAAATACAAGAATGGATGATCAAATCATTGATGATAGAGGAAAGATTGATAGAGTACTGATGGAGTAAAGTTATTCATATCACTTAGAGGTAATACTTCTGTCAGGTAATCAGTGAGTCAGGTTTGTTATAAATCAAGGAAATTTCTGTTAAACATTATTACTGTTTTCAGCTTACATTAGTTTGGAGTTTCTATTCAAAAGTTTCTATTTGAAGTTAGGCCTATAGATGAGTGTGGATGTAGCAAGTGTTAAATAAGAAATACATTAATTTGTTATTGTTAATATAGAACCTTACAACATTACTTTAGGCTAATTACCAAAGAACAAAAATGCATATTTTATCTTCGGTCGATTAACAAAGTACAGAAATGTCTGGAGTATGAAACCTTGTATAATATGTACGTTAACCTTAATTAAAAAGAAACATATAGTTAAAACTGCATAGGCAACAAAAATATCAAAATTAAATAATAGGTTAAACAATCACCAAGTTTTAAGCTGTATGATCTGACAACAAGTGCTTGCTCAGTATGTCTTCCTATATAAAAAAACTTGGCAATTGTTCAACCTATTATTTAATTTTTATAATCTTTATTAGCCAATGTCTGGAATATAAAACCATGTGCAATAGGTACTGCATCCTTTGTTAGCCAATCTCTGGAGTATAAAACCATGTGCAACAGGTACTGCATCCTTTGTTAGCCAATGTCTGGAGTACAAAACTATGTACAATAGGTACTGCATCCTTTGTTAGCCAATGTATGGAGTATAAAACCATATACAATAGCTACTGCATCCTTCGTTAGCCAATGTCTGGAGTATAAAACCATCTACAATAGCTACTGCATCCTTCGTTAGCCAATGTCTGGAGTATAAAACCATGTACAATAGGTACTGCATCCTTTGTTAGCCAATGTCTGGAGTACAAAACTATGTACAATAGGTACTGCATCCTTTGTTAGCCAATGTCTGGAGTATAAAACTATGTACAATAGGTACTGCATCCTTCGTTAGCCAATGTCTGGAGTATAAAATCATGTACAATAGGTACTGCATCCTTCGTTAGCCAATGTCTGGAGTATAAAACCATCTACAATAGGTACATCCTTTATTAGCCAATGTATGGAGTATAAAACCATGTACAATATGTACAGTATCCTTAATCCAACAACTGACTGTCATTTTCACATCAGATTTTTTATTGTGCAGTGTACATCATAAGGGCATGTTTAGCTGAATCAATATGTATCAGTTATTATGTTCAGGACACAGTATTTCTTCCACATATTATGTCATTTTTCTTTAATGAGTAATTTATTTAGCTAGAATAGAGGCAGTTATTTTCAGTTTAAAAAAGTTATCTGATTCACTGCCAACCTAATCCTAATTTTCTTTAGATCATTTTCAATTATTTGAACTTTTTCTAAAATGAATACGATTTAAATCTTCTAAGAGTTTGTTAGAATTGTCACATTTGTCAGTATAAGAACTACGTTATTTATAATTAATGCAATTTTCCACATTTTTAGAACTGCTAACAGTTGATCATGTATACTAATCTCTAGAGTTGTAATCTGTTAGATAATTTTTGATGTATTTCTTAATGGCTGAAATCTATTTTGTATCAAGATATTTATGTTATAGATGTAAATGTTTAGCACAATATATAAAGATTCCATTAGACTTGTTCTAACTTGGTCTTTAAAATGTTGTAGACGATAAATAGAAGGATCTTTTACTTGTGCTTACTAAATGAGAAATTAACATAGATATTTTCATTTGAAACAACTGAAGTAAATTATTTTAATCATATTTATTTTCTACATAAACATTTCAATACAATGTTGAACTTAACATTTTGTAGTTGTTGTATTTGGGACGTGACTATCCTAAAGGATACGACTACTTTCGTACTCGTCTAAAGGCAGCATTCATGAAGAATAAGGAAGTGACTGAACCAGCTCAGCTAGAGGTGTTGTTAGCTAGAGGTCAGTATATCATTAAAGAACTAGAGGCACTGTACATGTTGAAGAAGTACCGTACATTAAAGAAACGATACTACTCTGAACAGTGAGTTACTTTTACGACCAGAGGAAATATAAGACTGTGAAACTTAGACTGAACATAGCAAGTGGTCTGATGAGCCTTTGTATACACTTGAAATATTGGAGCCTTTCCATAAGAGTTGAAAATAGTGGCAACTTGCCATGTGCCTGCTGATTTTAAGGTTTTTACTGTATAGAGTAAGAATGCCAAATGTACAACTTGTTAACTGATCTTTGTCTAAAGCCTACACAGTACAGAAGAACTAACAATGATGATTTTTAGTCATGGTTTTCAAGATCAAGAATATTATCTCTTTATTAAAAGAAACTTGTTCTGTTTGTGATTTGATCAACAATAGAATTAGGCTGTTATTAGTCTTTCTCTTATGACTTCTGAGCTGTATACAGAGTAATGTGGATAGATGCATCAGAATATTACTAAAATAGAAATTGTTACTTACAAGCTTCCTTTAGTGTTTCATTGGAAAACTTCTTGAAAAATGTCTTTAATAACTTAGAGGTGGGTTTATTTCAAGGGTTTTGTTTCTCTGTTTTCATTTTTATATGTAATTATCTGTAACTCAGACTGTTAAGTTGTGTGCTTGTATTTTTGTGTTTTCTTTAGAATGTCACCTTAATATGAATTTGTAAATACACTTTTAAAAATGTGTTCACAAAATCATTGTTATTGTTCAGGGTGATATCTTCTGTGCTAAATTCACCTATTATCTGCACCTATTTTTTCTTAGTTCTTTTAATACTTCTTGTACCATTAATATTTCCCATGTAAAATTGACCATGTAATTTCATAATTTTTGGTAAAGTTTAATCAATGTAGGACCACTTGTAAAGTAGTGAGAGCTAGTTTGGACCATGCATTTAATAGTTGTTTTTATAACTATATATTTGTTCTGTGGCTTAGAATTTTGCTTGAGACAGTATGTATATTCTAAAAAAAAATAAAAAAATAAAAATTTAAGTTACAAAAAAGAAAAAAAAGGTCAGTGTTGAAACCATACAGTATAGTCATATGCCATAATTGTACTATGTCACAAAAGACTTGTTTGAAATTATGGTAACGTCAACTTTATGAAATTAAGATGTGAGTACTAATTTTAGTTTAATTTCTACTGTTTTTTTGTGAACTTGTATAGATATTTTATAATTGATAAAAGTATTAGATTTAGTGTTATAAAACAAGGTGTAAACTATTGGAATGCTTCACTAATATATGCACGTTTTTCTTTAACTGTCACAAGATGATTATTGGAAAGAAAGGTTTCATTGAAAGGAAAATCCAATGTATTGGCACAATTTTTGACCTTAATTACTACCAGGTTGGCTCAGTGGTAGACACAAAGAAATATTGTGCAAATCTTAAACAAAAAAGTCCATTAGTGATAGACATAAAACTGAGGTTCCTTGTTTGATGCTAGTGATCTCATCCATGATTTTCAACTCGACCATATGTAGCTATGGGCCCTTCTACATTAAACTGTCTTGGAGTTGTTCCGTTCTACAAGAACTAGAATGTTCTTGGTTGTTGTTTACATGTTAAATGCATGAAAATGTTATGCCATGTTAAGAATAAGAACAACACACAGCATTTTAACTTCAAACAGAAGAAGGCAAAAAGATGATAACTTTTGGTGCAAATAATCTAGGTATCTTTAAAACTGTACTACTTTAGATATACTTGTGAAACCAAAAATTTGGGGAATATGGCCAGACCATATTTTCAGCACTTAAATGCTTCACACCACAACCATAAAGCCCCTGAATCAGTAATTAAAATGATAGGTTATGGTCTCTGTAGATTTAAAAATAGTAATTTGTCCTAACAAATCTTCTTAAAAATTGTTAGAAAATTATCAGTCACTAGAATTCATTTCTTGTTAATAAGTTAACATAGAAATAAAATCTTCAAATTTCAAAAAATCTAAAAAAGGAATAATTGAGGTAGGAGGGGGGAAAGCTCTCCCCTGCAATATTGAAAGAAAGCCCCTGCTGGTGTTTAGAAAAAATGATATAATTTCATTAATCAAAATTAATAAATTTATGTATTTAACAGAAATGATTTTTAAGTATGGCATACTGATTTTTACACTTAATTTTATCAAAATTTTCACAGGGTATCTGTATTGTTACTGAAAGAACCTTATTTTAATGTTAAAAGCTGCCTAGATAAAAAAATCACACCCCAGGAATTATAAAACTTTTAATTTCAGTCTACTTCTGTGTAATTCTAAATACCCATGAGAGAAAGTAAATATTGTTACGTTTCTGTTTGTTAATTAACTTTCCATAACTTCGTTCCGACGAAACTTTAGCGACACAAGCCCTTTCTTAATAAAACTGGTTTATTCTTTCTGAATATAACTTTACGATACATTTAATTTCAACATTCGCGCTAAAACAAACGCTATAACGAACGTTAACTTCAACAATACTTTCTCACTGCAGATCAATTACTTACTACCAACACACACACATTATCGTCACGTTGTCACCCTCTT